TGATGCGTTCAGTGCAGCTTGCGGCAATTCTACCTGTTCAAGGCCAGTTACGCATTCATCTGGTGGTATGCAGTGTGATGTTTGTTCCCGTTGGTACCACAACAGTTGTACCGTCCTTCGAAGGAACTAGTACAAAATGCTGTCATCCAGTGAAAAGCTTTCTTTTTACATTTTCTGAATGCTGCGCCCAGAAAGCGAAGCGTCCGGCTATCACCTGTTCTGAAAACACTGGCATCCAGTTTCACAGTTGTTTTGAAGGTGTTAACCGATCTGGCCTCTCCTGCCTCGCTTAACACTAAATTGAATTTGCTTATGAAATCCCTGAGTATTGCGAATGAAGACGCCGTAGCGGACTGTCCCCCTGCTGACAGTCCATCCGTTGATGGGTCCTTCATCCTACCAGACGCTCCAGTCCACATGGAGATAACTGACTCAGATGGCTCGGACGGCATTGTTGATCCTCCCCAACTGGAAGGCTAGTCACAGACTCCTGGGCAGAAAATAAGCGAAAGAGGGCAAGGAAAGCGCGCAAACCTTCCGCCCCCAAACCGGAAGGTAAGAAAAAGCTCAAGATGCAAGCGCCTGAGCTGAAAACACCACCTGATGCTGAAATTCCCTCAGTTTCATCTAAGGCTGTGCAGGCAGGCGGTAAAAAACACAACGGATGTCCCCATTGCGTGCTAATCAAATTGCGGATGGACCTACTCCAAACACTTCACCCTGTCTTCCGGGGGTACAGGTCGTGGAGGCGGACATCGACGTTGAGCCACTTCTTCGCCTGTAGGTCGAAAGAAAAATCGAAACAAAACTGCCCGTACTCTTCAGGCTAGTTAGAAAAGCGTCAAGAATGATAAGTCAAACAAGCTGGAGCATAAGACGTACGCTACAGTTGCTTCAGCGTCGTCTGATAATGTGTGCCCAGTCACATTGCCTGCGGCTAAGCCGGCTGCTGTTTTATGTAAATTCAAAAACTCGTGGGATTATTACATCCCGTCGAGGTGATTCTCATGGATAGCAGCGTGATATTCCGTAACGCAGTGGAATTCACTGCCGCACTTCCTGCTGAACGTACGTTGGACGACCTACAGTGGTTTAAAATGTGCGTAACGAAGCTACTTCTGCCTGGGTTCCCAGGCGTTACTATTAGGAAACTGATTAGATTGGGCGGCATCCAAGTTAACGCCCCAAACCCTCGACCGCGCTTACTTCGTGTGGTTCTATGCACCCCGGGGGAACGCAACGCTCTGTTGCGGTTTGCTTTCAAACTGAAGGGTATTAATGTTAGCATTCAGCCAGACCTCCCGATGGCGGATAGGCTGAAGCTAAAAGAAGCCATCAAGGACTTCAAAACCAGGCGAACGGCCGGTGAATAAGGCCTCCGGTTGGTGGGTTTTTGGGTGGTCAGTCGGCGGTCTTTTTCTGCCCTACTAATGCCAGTCCTGGAAGCGCACAATCCAGATCTGGACCTAACGACTACCTTCAGCTAGTGCTAAGCAATGTGCTCAGCCTAAGGAATAAGATGTGCGAGATAGGTCGGCTTGTAGATGGGTCTTATCCCGATACATTCGCATTCACTGAAACGTGGCTGTCTCAGGACATCACGGACGGCGAAGTACATCTGTTTGGATACGCACTATTTAAATGTGATCGCTTCGTTGGCCGACAAGGCGCGGGCCTTGCGCTTTATGTTAGCTGTGAACTTGACGTTTTGCGCACCTACATGTTTCAGTCAGCAGATAAAACTGTTCAAGCTGTCGGTAGTGATTAGCACTTCCTCAGCTCAACTTAGTGTAATTGTGTATAGAAGCCCTGGGAGTGTATCCAAAGTGGTGCTTGACTTTACTCGCTCCCAATCCGCAAACTGGTATTTGATACTAGGTGATATCTATCTACCGGAAGATTGCTGGTCACATCTTCCCTGCAACTCGGTGGAAGATACTTTCGCTGCAGATCTTGAGCTTACGCTGCAAGTGCCATTGCATCAGTTCGTAGATCTCCCCAATAGATACATGGATGCCCAAGTACAGTCTATTTTGGACCTAGTTTTTGCCAAGTCACTAGACTTCGTAGATTATATCACTTGCAGCTCTCCCTTAGGTTCCACTGATCATGTCTGTTTATCGTTCAGCTGTGCTCTGACCAAACGTCACTTGAGCCTCGCTGAGCGATATCAAACATGGCATGCTATCAGGCAATGCGTATCAACGCTTTTGGGTTGCGTTGCTCAGTCTCAGGGACCGTTACGGTTCAGGCGCCCTGGGATACATTTAGGTCTTATCTCACGGAAGTGTATACTTCCTACATCCCGCATACAAATGGAAAAAGAACCGAGCTCGGCTCTCGTAGATAGATATCACTAGCAATTATCTGCTCCAAAAGCATTCTAGGTGCTGGCGAACCTACCGTGCATCTATGATAGGTACCGCGAGGCTAGAACTAGATGTACACGAAAGGGATTGGCTGGTGGAGCTTCGGGAAATCCGAAGCAGTTCTTTGCTTAAGATGGGCTGTGGTTCAAATTCGGTAATACACACACTATATACTTTAGCTAGAGGTGGGAAACACCTCGCTACTGTGCCGCAATACCTAAAAGAAAAAAGGGAATAAAATGCAACAAGTGCAAACCAGCTGTGCAACCGGTAACGGATGGTCATCGTTCCGGTAAGCTACTTGCCGGCTACTATGCAGCAGAAAAAGTACCTTACAATACGAAATTATAAAATACTAAATAATGTGATCGTGGTTGGAGAGAAAGATTAAGAGGGATGGGGTGAAACAAAAAAAACTCACAGCACGAACGCCACTGAGGTCGGCTCCTAGCCATATCAACAAGTGTATCCAGCCAAACATGCTCATCCTCTTTCGGACCCCAACCATGGAGCCAAGACGCTCCAACTGAGGCCAGTTTCGAAGTGACGGTCTTCATTCCTCTGGACCAAATCATCACGTGGCCACCCCTCCTTTCATCCCCACCCCGGCGCGCAAACAACGCACGTCGCGGGAGTTGGTGGGCTGGCATGGGAAATAGGTGACCGAGCTATCGGAACCTGGTGCGTGAAGTAACGGTACTGAGCGGTTTATTTCCTTCTCCTGTGCCGTAAACAAGTCGTCGAACACACACGTTCCTCATGCGTTGTTCCCACCAGGTATGAGCCAAATTGCGAAGGCACCGGTGCTCGAACGTAACTAGCCTCTTTAGGTCCGTTGATCTAAGGGGCCAGGTTTCACAACTGTACAGTAGGGTCGAACGTCATCATAATCATTAACAGCAGTACATCAGCCATTTGAACTGATGCTTCGCTGCCATACAACCATGAGGACCTATGAAATAAAGAATAAGAAGAGGGAGAGAAAGGGGACTTACCTGAAAACCTTAATGCCCTAAGCAAACATTCTGGGTCAAGGCGCCTACACCTTGTGTAGACAACATACCGTCACAAACAGCTGGCTATCGTGCAGAGATAAGGCGGCATCGGCGAGACAGCTTCCTCGCGGCTTTCACTGCCCCGCGTCATAATCAGCCATTACCCCGCAGATAACTCAGCACCCAATATATACTTTAAACAGGCAATCCGATTAGAAGACGGCAGCAGACGCGCCACTGGTGTCGGTTGCGAGCCATGTCCTGCAAAGTCTCGAGCCAAGCACAAGGTGAGTCACGTGGACTCCAACCCGGAAGGCGAGACGGACCAACGGCACCCAGTTTGGTTGTCAGTGACTTCATTTCCCGCTGCCAAGTCAACTTCTGTCCACCTCGAGCCTTGCGCCATCCTACACCTGGTAAACTGAACAAGGCCCTCCTAGGTAAGCGGTGACAAGGCATGCGCAGCACGTGTCCGAGCCAACGCAACTTATTCAGTGCTATCTGTTGTTCTAGCGTGCTAGCATGATTATCACTACCTAGTACTCGCCTACGCACATCATCGTTGCGGATACGCTGGTGCCATCCGACACCAGCAATGCTTCGCAAACAACGATGATCAAAGACTTGAAGGCGCCTCAGATCTTCAGACCGAAGGGGCTAAGTTTCACTACCATAGAGCAGAACGGCCCTCACTGTGGCCTTGTATACACGGCCTTTCAGACGGAGGGGAACTCCCTTCTGTCGCCAAAGATGACGCAGGTTCAAGAAGGAAGCTCTGGCCTTTGCAATGCGTGAGCACATGTCAGTTTCTATGCGCCCGTCATTGCTGATGCAGCTGCCAAGATAAGTGAATTGATCAACCACCTCGAGTTCCTCGTTAACAAGCGTCAAGCGGTCATCAAGTGGCTAGTGGTCCTGCAGCAACACTTTGCACTTTGAAGGTGCCAAGTGCATACCAAATAATGGGACAACTCTGGACAGACTATGCAGGGTTGATTGTGCCGCTCCAACATCGTCGAAAAGCATAATCTAGGTCAACTAACCTTTCACCAGGCAGCAGTTCAAAACCTACATCGTTGGATTCCGTCAGGGAACACTCCATGATAGAATCCACGACGAAATTGAACAAAAACGGGGAAATCGGACAACCCTGACGAACGCGACTTGTAGTCGAAAAGCTATCCGATAGGACACCATGGACCCTGACGCGGCCTGTTGTGTTCGACCGTCGCAACGAGACTGGACCTTAACGTGGTGCGACGGTTTGCGTACCTCATTGACCCATTGAGCTATACTGGGTGATGCCTTCGAGCATCTTGAGAGCTACTCCTACCAGGTTGGTCAATGGTGAGAGGTCAGACAAACTCAGTCTCCTGGTCCTCCAGGTTGGGGGTTTGAAATGGGATGGCGTCCATTTCTGTAAAACTAAATCACTGCCACCCCGCTGCCTTGCGGACAGGCTTTTGAGCCAAAGGCTTTGGATGAGGACCCTAATCGTTCTCCTGTCTAGGTCTGGGCGCCCTGGCAGTATCCTAGCCCACATACAACCATGACATTTTCTTCAAACATGAACTTCATCCTGCATCGGCCGTCGCGCAGATTATCAAGGGTCGCCTTCTCTGCTGCATACAGCAGGGCGGATAAGCGAAAGCATGCTACTGCTGGCGCCTCCCTTCTTTCTTTTCCACCTTTTTCTCTTATTCCCATCCCGGCCCCCATTACTAACCTTCCTTCTATAATTCCCAGCTTAATTGACAGCAACCGAAGTGCTACTGGAGTAGAACCATCTGCAGCCACCATCCCACAGCACCTATCGGACGCCTATCGGCAAAAGTTCCTTATAAGGCCACGCTGTCCCGTTTCCATGGCGACATTCAACGTCCGCACTCTAAGACAAACAGGTCAGCAGGCTGCACTCGCACGCACCTTGGACACACTGGGTGTTGATGTGTGTTGTGTGTCCGAAACTAGGATTAATGACCCTAACGGGGTTATTGAATTGACTGCACCCGGCTTATCCTCTCGTTATTGGTTGCACGCATCCGGAGACGCCGATGCGGCACTCACGGGTCAAGCTGGTGTAGGTATCATTCTCAGCTCCAAGGCTGAGTCATCGTTGGTTGATTGGATTCCGGTGAACAGCCGTTTATGTGCAGCCCGTTTGACGACATCAGCTAAGGTGAATTCACGAAGTAAAACAAAACGCTGTTTGTTTGTGATTTCTGCTTATGCTCCCACGGACTGCAGTTCTAATGCAGTCAAGGACACTTTCTATCACGAACTGAACACGCTGCTACGCAGTGCTACTAGTTCAGATATTATAGTACTTGCAGGGGATATGAACGCACAAGTAGGGTGTCTGAGCTCTTCAGAAGCTCAGCTGGGTGGTAAGTATGGACTTAATGCCGAACGGACTGACAACGGCGAGCGTCTGCTGCAACTGTGTGCGGAGCACCAGTTGTTTCTTACTAGCACTGCTTTTAGACACAGTGGGCGCCGAAGTGCCACTTGGCGTCCACCTGTAGCTGGTCAGCGATGGACCCAAATTGACCACATAGCCATAAGTTACAGGTGGCGCGGTTCCATTCTGGATTGCCGCTCGTACTGGAGTACCTGTGTCGAGTCTGACCATGCGTTGGTGCGCTGTCGTTTCTCCATGAACTTTACCGGAAGGCGCACAAAGCGTCTCCCCCGATTAACAACGGAGAAATTGTCCCAGCCCTCTGTCAGGCAAGCCTATCAAAAAGCACTGCATAGCGAACTCTCGCTGTCTTGTCCTAATGATATTGAACTTCAGTGGAATAGGATCTCGGCCACTATGCACGACGCAGGAGCATCTGCTTGTGGCACTATCAGTCGTCACCGCACCAGTCACTGGATATCCGAGAGGTCCGTGAACCTTTTGGATGCTAGAAGGCACCTCCCGGCTGGTTCTGAACACAATGTGACCAGACGGGCTATTAGGCGTGAACTAAAGCGGAGCCTACGTGCTGACAAGGAAGCCTGGTGGACCAGTCGGGCTCAAGAAATGGAGGAGGCAGGAGCAGTAGGCAATTACCGGAAGCTCTTCCAGCTAATACGCACCACTGGTCCGAGAAAACCAGGCGTCAGTGAGACAATCAGGGACAGCGCGGGTGCGCTGATACACAATAAGGAGCGCCGTATGGCTCGTTGGGCTGAGCACTTTGAACATCAGTTCAGCTGGCCCCCTGCTCCCGGACCTCTTCCTACTCAGGTGATGCAGGACGAGCCATGGACGGTTAGTTTAGAGCCTCCGTCGGAGGCCGAGGTCCGAAACGCGATCACAGCCCTCAATCGTTTTCGTGCCGCTAGCCCGGATTCCCTACCACCTGCACTATTTAAGGATGGAGGTGAGGTCCTCTGCAAAGCACTGACCTCCCTATTCGAACGTATCTGGAACGAAGAGAGTGTGCCGGCTAATTGGAGCGAATCGATTATAGTGGCAATATACAAGAAGGGCAGTCGCACAGACTGTGCGAACCACAGGGGTATTAGCCTAACGCCAGTTGTGACAAAATTACTGGCCTCGATTATCGTTCGTCGCCTCACTGCAGAACGGGAATCTCGGATTAGAGAAGAGCAGGCTGGTTTTCGGCCAGGACGTGGCTGTATAGACCATATATTTACTTTGCGGCAAGTGCTAGAGCAGCGCCACGCATACCGCAGACCGACAATAGCTGTGTTCCTCGATTTCAAGAGTGCGTTCGATTCAGTCGATCGATCGATTCTGTTCGAAATACTTGCGCGAAAAGGTGTTCCCACGAAATACGTGAACATCCTTCGTGCTCTATACTCGAACACTAGAGGCCGCGTCAGGGTCTATGGTGCCCTATCGGATAGCTTTTCGACTACAAGTGGCGTTCGACAGGGTTGCCCGATTTCCCCGTTTTTGTTCAATTTCGTCGTGGATTCTATCATGGAGTGTTCCCTTGCGGAATCTCACGATGTAGGTGTTGAAGTGCTGCCTGGTGAACGGTTAGTTGATCTAGATTATGCGGACGATATCGTCTTGCTTTTCGACAATGTTGAGGCGGCACAATCAACCCTGAATAGCCTATCCAGAGTGGTCCCATTATTTGGTATGCACTTCGCACCTTCAAAGTGCAAAGTGTTGCTGCAGGACCACCAGCCACTCGATGACCCCTTGACGCTTGCTAACGAGGAGCTCGAGGTGGTTGATCATTTCACTTATCTTGGCAGCTGCATCAGCAATGATGGGCGCATAGAAACTGACGTGAGCTCACGCATTGCAAAGGCTAGAGCTGCCTTCTTGAACCTGCGTCATCTTTGGCGACAGAAGGGAGTTTCCCTCCCTCTGAAAGGCCGTGTATACAAGGCCACAGTGAGGGCCGTTCTGCTGTATGGTAGTGAGACTTGGCCCCTTCGGTCTGAAGATCTGAGGCGCCTTCAAGTCTTTGATCATCGTTGTTTGCGAAGCATTGCTGGTGTCGGATGGCACCAGCGTGTCCGCAACGATGATGTGCGTAGGCGAGTACTAGGTGGTGATGATCATGCTAGCTCCCTAGAACAACAGATAGCACTGAATAAGTTGCGTTGGCTTGGGCACGTGCTACGCATGCCTGTTCACCGCTTACCTAGGAGGGCCTTGTTCAGTCTGCCAGGTGTCGGATGGCGCAAGGCTCGAGGTGGACAGAAGTTGACTTGGCAGCGGGAAATGAAGTCACTGACGACCAAACTGGGTGCCGTTGGTCCGTCTCGCCTTCCGGGTTGGAGTCCACGTGACTCACCTTGTGCTTGGCTCGAGACTTTACAGGACATGGCTCGCAACCGACACCAGTGGCGCGTCTGCTGCCGTTTGCTAATCGGATTGTCTGTTTAAAGTGTGTTTGGTGCTGAGTTATCTGCGGGGTAATGGCTGATTATGACGCGTGGCAGTGAAAGCCGCAAGGAAGCTGTCTCGCCGATGCCGCCTTATCTTTGCACGATAGCCAGCTGTTTGTGACGGTATGTTGGTAACACAAGGTGTAGGCGCCTTGACCCTGAATGCTTGCTTAGGGCATTAAGGTTTTCGGGTAAGTCCCCCTTCTCTCCCTCTTCTTATTCTTTATTTCATAGGTCCTCATGGTTGTATGGCAGCGAAGCATCAGTTCAAATGGCTGATGTACTGCTGTTGATGATGATGATGATGTTGTGTTCGAGTATAGAGCACGAAGGATGTTCACATACTTCGTGGGAACACCTTTTCGCGTAAGTAATTCGAACAGAATCGATCGATCGACCGAATCAAGGAACACAGCTATTGGGTCGAACGTACCGCTGCATTGTACAGTCTGCCGTTCAAGGCGAGTGATGTTGCGCCAGCTCCGTAAGTGGCGAAGGTTAGCAAAAGCACGTCGAGCTTTTGCTATACTTTTCGTGATCTCATCCTCAATCCCACGGGCGCTGATACAACTTCCCATGTAGTTGAATTTTTGAACGACTTCTAGCTGATCCCCACCAAGGGTCAGCGTAGGAGGCGGTCCAGACCAATCTTAGAGGAACGCTTTGCACTTCGTTGGTGCAAAGCTAAGCCCGAAGTGGCTGACAGCCAGTGGTAATCTGTCCATTGCCGCTTGCATGTCAGCATACTCTAAGTCAAGAAGTCGTTCTCCTGGGAGCAGATCCACACCTTCCAAGTCGTGTCCTGTAAACACTATATCCATGACTTTTCAATCGCGAGGTTGAAGAGGAAAGGTGACAGCGGGCATCCTTGTCTCATACCGCTGGAGATATTAAAGGGTGACGACGGCTTGCCGTAAGCCCTCACTCTGCCTGAGCTACGCGCGTATAATGCTCGGATAATATTTACCTATTTCTCTGATACTCCTTTCCTGACTAGACAGTCCCAAAGTGCACGCCTATCCAGCGAATCGAATGCACCTTTGATATCGAGGAACACGACAATGGCAGGCCGCCAATATATGTGACGGTGCTCCAACAACTGACGCAAAGTGCAGATGTGGTCAATGCAGTCACGACCTCGACGAAACCCGGCCTGGTCTTCACGAATATGGCTTTCACGAGTGCCAGTCAGTCTGTGAAGGATGACAGAGGCAAGCAATTTGGTGGCGATGGAGATCAGACTGATTCCTCTATGGTTGCCGCATTCCGATCGTGAGCCTCCCTTGAAAATTGGGACTATCACGGAGCGGCTGCAGTCGGTGGGGACAGTTTCCTGCTCCCACAGTTTAACTATCAGTTCGGGTAAATTATCCACAAGAGCAGTTCCCCCGAATTCGAAGGGGGCTGGAGTAAGGTAATCTGGTCCCTCGGCTTTATGTAACTTTAGCAGTGCGATCTCACATTCGACATCTGAGCGCGAGGATGGATGCTAAGGGACAGCCCAGGGAGTGGAGTGATCAGTAGCCGGCGAGAAATCTAACAATTTCGACCGATTAAATTGTCTTTTAAAGTGCTCAGCCCAACGCGACATTACTTTCGCCCTGAATGGCAGAGTTTACAACGCAGCCGTCCGTTCAACTCTCCTATATGATTGTGAAACCTGGCCCATCAGGTCGACAGACATAAAGAGGCACGTCATATTCGATCATCGCTGCCATCGCAGCTTAGCTCATGTCTGATGGGAGCACAGCGTGTTCGGCATCGCGTATTTGATGCAGGGAGAGCGAGTGAATCGCTCAGCACCATTATATCACGCACCAAACTCCAATGGTTGGGCCACGTGTTGCGCATGCCAGCACACCGACTTCCGCGACGTGCATTGTTTGCGCGTTGTGGGTGCGGTTGGAAGAGGAGGAGGGGAGGCCAAGCGATGACTTGGTCTAAAGAGATGAAAACCCTCACTTCGAAGTTGGCGTCGGTTGGTGCATCCCGACTGCCTGCTTGGGGTCCTAAGGACGGTGAACACGATTGGTTGGACACATGCTGATATGGCTTGGAGCAGGCCCCAATGGCGTTTGTGTTGTGATTTTCTTTGTCCATCCCCCTCCAATCACGATCTCATTCCTTAGGCATAATATAACTCTTTTTTCGGCACGATAGCCAGCTGTTACCTCTCCGAAACGATTTGCATCCTTTACTGGGGACTCAGCCGGTGTGCCACTGTTTGTTTTCCTTTTCTTGTTTTTTTGTATTGCGGCACAATAGTTGAGGTGCTTTCCACCTGCAGCTAACGTGTATGATGCTGATGGTGATGGTGAGGTGATCTTCAGTAATGTGTACAGCCTAGTAAACAAGTTGTGCGAGCTCGGCGC